TGTTTCCCAAGTGCTGGGTGTTTGAAAATGTTCTAACAATACATTTCTCAAAATCACGACCGAGTTTGGGAAACCAAGCACTGAGCTATGGTCTAGTCCTTTCAATTAATGAACACCAGAAAGGTAGGATGTGCGTAAAGGCCCTAGATATCAAAATGGTACTGGGCCAATATATCACGTGACATTTCGGTGGGCTGTATTAAAACTGAATGAATTGAGGAAAATGGCCGAGAAGAAGAAAGGTGAGAAACAAGCTAGCAACATCAATATTTTAAATATATTGCCCTCGCTAACTACCTATATCACAAAAATGAGTCTTTAATCTGAGTAAAGAGATCAAATAAACGTAGTTACGTTAATGCACATGAACACTTGTCCTTCAGAAAGTTAGCTAGCATGTGCAAAGTTGTATGCTAACAATCGCAGTTAGCTAGCTAGCTACGGTAGCGCTCAGTCGTGAAATGCGGACCAGCGTGCCTTGTTTGCTAGTCACCACGCCTGCGATTCAGGGGGGAATGCTACCTATTTTGTCAAATGAAATGCTTACTTACTCCATGTTGCTAGCTAGCTTCCAGTGCACTGGGTGTGTTGGTTGGTAGCTAGTTTAGGTAGGCTAACTACTGAACTAGCTAGCTACAACATTTACTACTACGACACACATATTACTAATTCCTTAGCTGTTATGACATTACGCTATGTTTACTGACAACTGCTGAGATCTCATATGGGGGGGGGGGGGCTAGTGTGAAGGAAGGCCATGTTATGGGACCCCGCCTACTTGTTTTACACTGAACCAAAATATAAACGCTACATAAAACAATTTAAAAGATTTTACTGAGTTACAGTTCATATAAGGAAATCAGTCAATTGAAATAAATTAATTAGGCCCTAATCTATGGATTTCACATGACTGGGAATACAGATATGTATTTGTTGGTCACAGATACCTTAACAAAAAAAAAGTAGGGGCATGGATCAGAAAATCTGTCAGTATCTGGTGTGACCACCATTTTCCTCATGCAGCTTGACACATCTCCTTTGCTTAGAGTTGATCAGGCTGTTGATTGTGGCCTGTGGAATGTTGTCCCACTCCTCTTCAATGGCTGGATATTGGCAGGAACTAGAACAGGCTGTTGTACGGGTCAATTCCACAGCATCGCAAACATGCTCAATTAGTGACATGTCTTGTGAGTATGCAGGCCGTGGAAGAACTGGAACATTTTCAGCTTTTAGGAATTGTGTACAGATCCTTGCAACATGGGGTTGTGCATTATCATGCGAAAACATGTGGTAATGGCGGTGGATGAATGACACGACAATGGGCCTCAGGATTTCGTCACGGTATCTCTGTGCATTCAAATTGCCATTGATAAAATGCAATTTGTGTTTGTTGTCCATAACTTATGCCTGCCCATACCATAACCCCACCATCACGGGCCACTCTGTTCACAACGTTGACATCAGCAAACCGCTCTCCCACATGACGCCATACACGCTGTCTGCCATCTGCCCGGTACAGTTGAAACTGTGTTTCATCTGTAAAGAGCACACTTCTCCAGCGTACCAGTGGCCATCGAAGGTGAACATTTTCCTACTGAAGTCAGTTACGGCGCTGAACTGCAGTCAGGTCAAGACCCTGGTGAGGATGACGAGCATGCAGGTGCGCTTCCCTGAGAAGGTTTCTGACAGTTTGTGCAGAAATTCTTCAGTTGTGGAAACCCACAGTTTCATCAGCTGTCTGGTTGGCTGGTCTCAGACCGTCCCGCAGGTGAAGAAGCCGGATGTGGAGGTCCTGGGCTGGCATGGTTGTGAGGCTGGTTGGACGTACTGCGAAATTCTCTAAAATGACGTTGGAGGTTACTTATGGTATAGAAATTAACGTTCAATTCTCTGGCAACAGCTCTGGTGGACATTCCTGCAGACACCATGCCAATTGCACGCACCATCAAATTGAGACATCTGTGGCGTTGTGACAAAACTCCACATTTTAGTGGCCTTTTATTGTCCCCGGCACAAGGTAATCATGTTTAATCAGCTTCTTGATATGCCACACCTGTCAGGTGGATGGATTATCTGGGCAAAGGAGAAATGTACACTAACGGGGATGTAAACAAATTTGTACACAACAGTTGAGAAAAATACGCTTTTTGTGCGTATGGAAATGTTTGGGGATCTTTTATTTCAGCTCATGAAACATGGGACCAACACTTTACATGTTGCGTTTTATATGTTTTGTTCAGTGTATTTGTAGAATCTTGTAGTATCACTGATAACGAAAGTATTAACAGGGCCAATTCCATAAAACGGAACGGAAGGGTTTCACTAGGTTAAGCAGCATATGTCAAAAAGGATTTGGTGTCTACCAGGCCAGTGTTTGTTCTTGACCCAGACCAAAGCTCTTGACTACTGAGCTAATCACAAGTCTGTCTGACTGAATGAGAAACCGATGCCCATTAGATCTCTTTGGGCTGGTCTATTTTAGGCTTGTACAGTGGCTTGCAAAAGTATTCACCCCCCTTGGCATTGTTCCTATTTTGTTGCCTTACAACCTGGAATTTAAATGGATTTTGGAGGGGTTTGTATCATTTGATTTACACAACATGCCTACCACTTTGAAGATTAAAAATATTGACTTAGTGAATACATAAGAAATAAGACAAAAAAACTGAACTTGCGCGTGCATTACTATTCACCCCCCCAAAGTCAATACTTTGTAGAGCCACCTTTTGCAGCAATTACAGATGCAAGTCTCTTTGGGTATGTCTCTATAAGCTTGGCACATCTAGCCACTGGGAATTTTGCCCATTCTTCAAGGCAAAACTGCTCCAGCTCCTTCATGTTGGATGGGTTCCGCTGGTGTACAGCAATCTTTAAGTCATACCACAGATTCCCAATTGGATTGAGGTCTGTGCTTTGACTAGGCCATTCCAAGACATTTAAATGTTTCCCCTTAAACCACTCGTGTTGCTTTAGCAGTATGCTTAGGGTCATTGTCCTGCTGGAAGGTGAACCTCCGTCCCAGTCTCAAATTTCTGGAAGACTGAAACAGGTTTCACTCAAGAATTTCCCTGTATTTAGCACCATCCATCATTCCTTCAATTCTGACCAGTTTCCCAGTCCCTGCCGATGGAAAAACCATCCCCACAGCATGATGCTGCCATCACCATGCTTCACTGTGGGGATGGTGTTCTCGGGGTGATGAGAGGTGTTGGGTTTGCGCCAGACACAGCGTTTTCCTTGATGGCCAAAAAGCTAAATTTTAGTCTCATCTGACCAGAGTACCTTCCGTATGTTTGGGGAGTCTCCCACATGGCCTTTGGCTAACACCAAATGTGTTTGCTTATTTTTTTCTTTAAGCAATTGCTTTTTTCTGTCCACTCTTCTGTAAAGCCCAGCTCTGTGGAGTGTACGGCTTAAAGTGGTCCTATGGACAGATACTCCAATCTCCGCTGTGGAGCTTTGCTGCTCCTTCAGGGTCATCTTTGGTCTCTTTGTTGCCTCTCTGATTAATGCCCTCCTTGCCTGGTCCGTGAGTATTGGTGGGTGGCCCTCTCTTGGCAGGTTTGTTGTGGTGCCATATTCTTTCAATTTTTTAATAATGGATTTAATGGCGCTCCGTGGGATGTTCAAAGTTCCAGATATTTTTTTATAACCCAACCCTGATCTGTACTTCTCCACAACTTTGTCCCTGACCTGTTTTGAGAGCTCCTTGGTCTTCGTGGTGCCACTTGCTTGGTGGTGCCACTTGCTTGGTGGTGCCACTTGCTTGGTGGTGCCACTTGCTTGGTGGTGCCACTTGCTTAGTGGTGTTGCAGACTCTGGGGCCTTTCAGAACAGGTGTGTGTGTATATATACTGAGATCATGTGACACTTAGATTGCACACAGGTGGACTTTATTTAACTAATTATGTGACTTCTGAAGGTAATTGGTTGCACCAGATCTTATTTAGGGGCTTCATAGCAAAGGGGGTGAATACATATGCACGCACCACTTTTCCGTTATTAATTTTTTTAGAATCTTTTGAAACAAGTTATTTTTTTCATTTCACTTCACCAATTTGGACTATTTTGTGTATGTCCATTACATGAAATCCAAATAAAAATCATTTTTAAATACAGGTTGTAATGCAACAAAATATGAAAAAACGCCAAGGGGATGAATTATTTTGCAAGGCGCTGTACTTAATGCAGCTTTCCCAAAACGTGGTCCTCTAGACCCCAAGAGGTGCATTTTTTTAACACAACATTGCGGCTTGAAATTATCAAAGCTTGATTAGTTGATTATTTGAATCAGCTGTGTAGTGCTAGGGCAAAAACCAAAATGTGTACCCCTTGGGGTCCCGAGGACCGAGTTTGGTAAACCCCGATTCCATGGCACATGGTTTATGAACTGATACACAAAACAACGCCGGATTCTAAACGTAGTTTTTCATTTAAAATTATTTTACCAAATTCTTGCAACCAATAGAATGTTTTATATATATGGGGGATACAACCATCCCAGCTCTGCAGATTTTGCTGCAACTAGACAGAATCATTAGATCTTGTTTTGGTACTGCTCATATGTAGCTTGTTTTTGAAGAATTGCAACATTTGCAAATAGCACTGCTGGGTGATTTGAAAAGTCAGTCAATCGATCAATAATATAATACTCTTTGCAAATTAAAGATCACATGTTTTGCTATCTGTAGAAACTATGACAATAGAAAGGTTCAGAACTTTTGTGAAACAGCACAGTTGAATAATATATGGAAAAACTGGATGATTTTCAGAGATAAATGGGAGTGGTTGAGGGGAGCTGAAGGGTGGGACTAAAAATAACAAAAGATAACTAATGTAAAATATACTGTGTCCGTAAAATGTATAAGCTGGAAGTATATGGGGGGGATTGGAAATGATGCAGATCTAGCCCTTTAAAAAAAAACTTCACTGTCTGGCATCCGACGTGGTGTAAGATGCACACAGTATTTCTACTGTTGAGGCCATCGAACATGCATTTCAGTGTCTTGCAAGATTATGTGAGCCAAGGACGATTAAGCATATGACAAATTTTTTATTATGACTTGTTCTTCTAGATAAGAGTGAGGAGACCTTTGAAGTCATGGACATGGTAGAGTATGCCAAGAAACAGAGATGGTGGAACAAAATATTTGGCAAGAACTCTGGGCCCGTAGCAGAGAAGTATGATGTTGCCACCCAGCTTGCCATTGGTGGAGTGTCTGGCTGGTGAGTCGATCAGTCTTGTGTGTTAATATTAAACAGAAATAAAGCATGTGAATCTGGTGGTACAATTTAACCAGTTACATTACTTGGCAGTTCTCTGTTTGACTGCTGTTTTTCCTCTTAGGTGTGCAGGGTATTTGTTCCAGAAAGTTGGGAAGCTGGCGGCTTCGGCAGTGGGCGGAGGCTTCTTTTTGCTTCAGGTAGGGCTCGACTTCTTTATATCAATTTATTTCGTTGTTTTGTGTTTGAAAATCCATAGTTCTAAATAACACCTGACTAATTTATTTACCCACATTTAACACAGATTTTGACACTCATGTTTCATTAGAACACATGGAGATGTGTTATGACCATAGAGTATGGCCGTGTCCGAAATCTTGCTTGCCTACTACTTACTTAAACTGCATACTGTGTACTACTCGTACTACATACTATTTAGTAAAAATGAAAGCAGTAAGCAGCAAATATCAGCACACCTTGTGGCGGGCCGTGCACCTGCAAGCTGACTTCAGTCGCCAGCTGGACGGTGTTTCCTCCGACACATTGGTGTGGCTGGTTTCCGGGTTAAGCGAGCAGTGTGTCAAGAAGCAGTGCGGCTTGGCAGGTTCGTGTTTCGGAGGACGCATGGCTCTTGACCTTCGCCTCTCCTGAGTCCGTAAGGGGAGTTGCAGCGATGGGACAAGACTGTAACTACCAATTTGGATATCACGAAATTGGGGAGAAAAAGGGGTAAATGTACAAAAAAGTGTACAGCGAATTCTACTAGATGAAAATCCGAAATGAGTATGACATCCTGGCATTTAAAGCATCCAACATTTTAGAAATTTCACGTACTATTAGACTTAATTTTTTCACATACCCAAAATACCTACTATTTTGAAAGTGTGGGAATTACGACACAGCCAATGATAGAGGACTTTTTTGCGTATCTATCCCATTATGGCGTCTGTAAGCGTATGGGCCGTGCCATCGAGGCATCTTCATTTTGAAGTAGTGCATTTTCTTCTACTATTTCTATGAGTTGGTAAACAAACTGAAAGGGTGCATACTGCCACCTGGAGTGTGTTTTTTTTAACAGGTATAAAGCCTAGGTTGGCGATTTACTGCCATCTGCCGAGTGGCACAGTGGTCTAAGGCACTGCATCGCAGTGCTAGCTGTGCCACTAGAGATCCTGGTTCGAATCCAGGCTCTGTCGTAGCCGGCAGGGTATGGGAGGGAATGGCCGGCATGTAGCTAGCTCAGTTGGTAGAGCATGGCGTTTGCCATGGAGGCCCACGGGGGGCCAGTATGAAAAAATTTAAAAATAATAATGTATGCACTCACTACCTGTAAGTCGCTCTGGATAAGAACGTCTGCTAAATGATTAAAATGTAAATGTAAATCTGCAGTTATGGAATGTTTGCTCACAAGCATAAATAATTGGCTGATCCCTGATGACCCGGAATGGAATTATATGATCCTTCCTTAACCCATAGGAAGTCACACGGTTGACTACTTAAAAAATGGTGAAAGTCCTCAACAGGCTTTTGGGCACCTCGATCTATATCTACACCCCCCTTGGATTTCTTCACATTTTGTGTTACAAAGTGGGATTAAAATGGGTTTAATTGTCTTTTTTTTTTGTCAACGAGCTACACAAAATACTCTGTCAAAGTAATATTAGTGTTTTAAAATATTGAAACATTAATATACCTTGATTAGATAAGTATTCACCCCGAGTCAATCAATACATGTTAGAAACACCTTTGGCAGCGATTACAGTTGTGAGTCTTCTTGGGTAGGTCTCATGAGTTTTGCACACCTGTATTGTGCAATATTTGCCCATTTATTATTTTCAAAATTCTTCAAGCTCTGTCAAGGTGTTGGGGATCATGGCTAGACAGCCATAGATCTTAAGTCAATTAAAACTGTAACTTGACCACTCAGGAACATTCACTGTCTTCTTGGTAAGCAACTCCAGTGTAGATTTTGCTTTGTGTTGTAGGTTATTGTCCTGCTGAAAGGGGAATTCCTCTCCCAGTCTTTTTTTTCTCACCTTTATTTAACCAGGTAAGCCAGTTGAGAACAAGTTCTCATTTACAACTGCGACCTGGCCAAGATAAAGCAAAGCAGTGCGATAAAAACAACAACACAGAGTTACATATGGGGTAAAAAAAACATAAGGTCATAAAATACAACAGAAAATATATATACAGTGTGTGCAAATGGAGGTAAGGCAATAAATAGGCCATAGTGCAAAAATAATTACAATGTTTTATTAACACTGGAATGATAGATGTGCAAGAGATGATGTGCAAATAGAGATACTGGGGTGCAAATGAGCAAAATAAATAACAATATGGGGATGAGGTAGTTGGGTGGAGTTCGTTCCAGTCATTGGCAGCAGAGAACTGGAAGGAATGGCGGCCAATGGAGGTGTTGGCTTTGGGGATCACCAGTGAGATATACCTGCTGGAGCGCATACTACGGGTGGGTGTTGCTATGGTGACCAATGAGCTAAGATAAGGCAGGGATTTGCCTAGCAGTGATTTATAGATGACCTGGAGCCAGTGGGTTTGGCGACGAATATGTAGTGAGGACCAGCCAACAAGAGCGTACAGGTCACAGTGTTGGGTAGTATATGGGGCTTTGGTGACAAAACAGATGGCACTGTGATAGACTACATCCAATTTGCTGAGTAGAGTGTTGGAGGCTATTTTGTAAATGACATTGCCGAAGTCAAGGATCAGTAGGATAGTCAGTTTTACGAGGGCATGTTTGGCAGCATGAGTGAAGGAGGCTTTGTTGCGAAATAGGAGGCCGATTCTAGATTTAACTTTGGATTGGAGATGCTTAATGTGAGTCTGGAAGGAGAGTTTACAGTCTAACCAGACACCTAGGTATTTGTAGTTGTCCACATACTCTAGGTCAGACCCGCCGAGAGTAGTGATTCTAGTCGGGTGGGCGGGTGCCAGCAGCGCGTTCGATTGAAGAGCATGCATTTAGTTTTACTAGTGTTTAAGAGCAGTTGGAGGCTACGGAAGGAGTGTTGTATGGCATTGAAACTCGTTTGGAGGTTTGTTAACACAGTGTCCAATGAAGGGCCAGATGTATACAAAATGGTGTTGTCTGCGTAGAGGTGGATCTGAGAGTCACCAGCAGCAAGAGCGACATCATTGATATACACAGAGAAAAGAGTCGGCCCGAGAATTGAGCCCTGTGGCACCCCCATAGAGACTGCCATAGGTCCAGACAACAGGCCCTCCGATTTGACACATTGAACTCTATCTGAGAAGTAGTTGGTGAACCAGTTGAGGCAGTCATTTGAGAAACCAAGGCTATTTAGTCTGCCAATAAGAATGCGGTGGTTGACAGAGTCGAAAGCCTTGGCCAGGTCGATGAAGATTGCTGCACAGTACAGTCTACTATCGATCACGGTTATAATATCGTTTAGGACCTTGAGCGTGGCTGAGGTGCACCCATGACCAGCTCGGAAACCGGATTGCATAGCGGAGAAGGTACGGTGGGATTCGAAATGGTCGGTGATCTGTTTGTTAACTTGGCTTTCGAAAGGCAGGATGGATATACAGTGGGGAGAACAAGTATTTGATACACTGCCGATTTTGCAGGTTTTCCTACTTACAAAGCATGTAGAGGTCTGTAATTTTTATCATAGGTACACTTCAACTGTGAGAGACGGAATGTAAAACAAAAATCCAGAAAATCACATTGTATGATTTTTAAGTAATTAATTTGCATTTTATTGCATGACATAAGTATTTGATCACCTAACAACCAGTAAGAATTCCGGCTCTCACAGACCTGTTAGTTTTTCTTTAAGAAGCCCTCCTGTTCTCCACTCATTACCTGTATTAACTGCACCTGTTTGAACTCGTTACCTGTATAAAAGACACCTGTCCACACACTCAATCAAACAGACTCCAACCTCTCCACAATAGCCAAGACCAGAGAGCAGCTTGGTGAGAAGGCAACAACTGTTGGCGCAATTATTAGAAAATGGAAGAAGTTCAAGATGACGGTCAATCACCCTCGGTCTGGGGCTCCATGCAAGATCTCACCTCGTGGGGCATCAATGATCATGAGGAAGGTGAGGGATCAGCCCAGAACTACACGGCAGGACCTGGTCAATGACCTGAAGAGGGCTGGGACCACAGTCTCAAAGAAAACCATTAGTAACACACTACGCCATCATGGATTAAAATCCTGCAGCGCACGCAAGGTCCCCCTGCTCAAGCCAGCACATGTCCAGGCCCGTCTGAAGTTTGCCAATGACCATCTGGATGATCCAGAGGAGGAATGGGAGAAGGTCATGTGGTCTGTTGAGACAAAAATAGAGCTTTTTGGTCTAAACTCCACTCGCCGTGTTTGGAGGAAGAAGAAGGATGAGTACAACCCCAAGAACACCATCCCAACCGTGAAGCATGGAGGTGGAAACATCATTCTTTGGGGATGCTTTTCTGCAAAGGGGACAGGACGACTGCACCGTATTGAGGGGAGGATGGATGGGGCCATGTATCGCGAGATCTTGGCCAACAACCTCCTTCCCTCAGTAAGAGCATTGAAGATGGGTCGTGGCTGGGTCTTCCAGCATGACAACGACCCGAAACACACAGCCAGGGCAACTAAGGAGTGGCTCCGTAAGAAGCATCTCAAGGTCCTGGAGTGGCCTAGCCAGTCTCCAGACCTGAACCCAATAGAAAATCTTTGGAGGGAGCTGAAAGTCCGTATTGCCCAGCGACAGCCCCGAAACCTGAAGGATCTGGAGAAGGTCTGTATGGAGGAGTGGGCCAAAATCCCTGCTGCAGTGTGTGCAAACCTGGTCAAGACCTACAGGAAACGTATGATCTCTGTAATTGCAAACAAAGGTTTCTGTACCAAATATTAAGTTCTGCTTTTCTGAAGTATCAAATACTTATGTCATGCAATAAAATGCAAATGAATTACTTAAAAATCATACAATGTGATTTTCTGGAGTTTCTCTCACAGTTGTCTCTCACAGTTGAAGTGTACCTATGATAAAAATTACAGACCTCTACATGCTTTGTAAGTAGGAAAACCTGCAAAATCGGCAGTGTATCAAATACTTGTTCTCCCCACTGTAGGTCTGTAACAGTTTGGATCTAGAGTGTCACCCCCTTTGAAGAGGGGGATGACCGCGGCAGCTTTCCAATCTGGGGATCTCAGACGTTACGAAAGAGAAGTTGAACAGGCTAGTAATAGGGGCTGCGACAATTTCGGCGGCTAATTTTAGAAAGAAAGTGTCCAGATTGTCTAGCCCAGATGATTTGTAGGGGTCCAGATTTTGCAGCTCTTTCAGAACATCAGCTGTCTGAATTTGTGTGAAGGAGAAGCGGGTAGGGCATGGGCAAGTTGCAGCGGAGGGTGCAGAGCTGGTGGCCGGGGTAGTGGTAACCAGGTGGAAAGCATGGCCAGCCGTAGCAAAATGCTTGTTGAAATTCTCGATTATTGTAGATTTATCGGTGGTGACAGTGTTTCCTAGCCTCAGTGCAGTGGGCAGCTGGGAGGAGGTTCTCTTATTCTCCATGGACTTTATAGTGTCCCAAAACATTTTGGAGTTAGTGCTACAGGATGCAAATTTCTGTTTAAAAAAGCTAGCCTTTGCTTTCCTAACTGCTTGTGTATATTGGTTCCAGGAAGCAGGTTTTCCTCTAGGATTTTCCCTGTGCTTAGCTCCATGTTTCTTTTCATCCTGACCATAATGCAGCCACCACCATGCTTGAAAATAAGGCAGTTATGTGTTGGATTTGCCCCAAACATAACATGCTGACCACACCACCCGCGTTGTGTGCGTGAGCATTGCAAAATAAATGTACACATACGTTATTCAATAATTTCATCCAAACTGCTTGCGCGCGTCAACGAGCGTCTGCGTAGCCAGGCGCTAAGTCCCGCCTCTCCAATATCTTCTTTGGTTTTTATGAGCATATACCGACGTGGATGATTGAAAGCTGAACTGAGGTCCACACTCTAGTCCAGTTGGTGGTGGTAATGCACCTTTAAAGATGGATTTTAACCGCCATATAAAGTCCAAAGAAGACAAACAAGAAGACTGAAAGAGGAGAGATTACTAGAATCTGTGGCTTAATTGCCGGAGTAGAGGACCTTGTGCATTTCAGTTGAAATAACAGCCCAATGTTTATATCCCAGGACAAATTAGCTAGCAACAGCAAGCTAGCTAGCTAAATGGCCATGAATGTTTCATTTAGTTTTGACCTGTCCCCAAATTAATATAGGTAGTTCAGAGTTCGTTTTGATACTTCAACCTGGATGGACAAAATCAACATGCGCGTGATGGCGCCCCGGTCTAGTCAGCATTGCATTTAGTGCCTTGTATCATATGCATGTTTTGAAATATTTGTATTCTGTATATTTTGTCTTATTCTTTTCACTGTCATTTAGGTCATTATTGTGGAGTCACTACAATGTTGTTGATCCATCCTCAGTTTTCTCCCATCACAACCATTACAATCCCTAAGCAGTTTCCTTACTGTCCTGCAGCTCAGTTCAGGAGGACGACTGCATCTTTGTGTCTGGGTGGTTTAATACATCATCCACATCCTAAATATTAACTTGACCATGCTTAAAGATATAGTCAATGTTTGATTTGATATTGTTACCCATATACCAATCACTGAGGCTTTTGAAAAGCTCCCTGGTCTTTGTAGTTGAATCTGTGCTTGAAATTCAATACTTGACTGAGGGACCTCACAGATGTGTGTGTGTGTGTGTGTGTGTGTATAGGGGACAGAGGAAGGGGTAGTTATTCAAACATCATGTCATCCCCTATTATTTCACACAGAGTCCATATAACTTATGTGATTAGTTAAGCCAAATTTGACTTCTGAACTAATTTACGCTTGCCTAAACAAAGGGGGTGAATAGTTATGGAACGACTTATTTAATGTTTTATTATTTGTTAACATTTGTAGAATGTTCTTTTCACTTTGACATTATTGGTTATTTTGTGTAGATCAATGACAAAATTACAATTAAATCTTTCAATCCCACTTTGTAGCGCAACAAAATTGGAAAAAAAAGTTCAAGGGGGTGTATACTTTCTATAGGCACTGTATCTCTATGGTTATGATGACCAAGTCACATTGCCATTATTGGTGGGTGTGATTCATTTCCTTCTAGATGGCCAATCACACAGGATACATCAAAGTGGACTGGAAGAGAGTGGAGCGGGATGTAAACAATGCCAAGAAGCAGCTGAAGTTGAATACAGATAAGCCCACTAAGGAAGTCAGGACAAAAGTGGATGAGGTAAGGGGTTATCATGGTCTACTACAAAATAGTGGATCTTTCTTCTCTGATTAATGTCTTATTGTGATCTTTTTGGTGTTGTGATTTCATCATTTTCAAATATGCTCAGGACTAAAGAAATGATTTTGAAGCCATCCACACCTTTTTACTCCAGAGTATAAAAGAGAACAATGTCAAAGAACAATACTCTGCAAAACCTTATCATTGATTTAAAGGTGCTTTTTTTTTTGTCTTACCAGGTGCAGACATTTGTGAAGAAGAATATTATCCTCACAGGAGGTTTTGCTGGGGGATTTCTGCTGGGCTTGGCCTCTTAAGAGCCTCTCATTTCTGTCTTTAATATTTTTGTGTCAAATACAAGGCTGAAAAAAGCTTAACCTAAGCAGCTATCTAGATATGTAAGTAGACTACATCGATATCATATGTCAAACGAACTCATAGGCTTGATGTGTTTTTGGGCTTATGGGCATGTGTCAATTTGAGAAAACAGCAATTTAAATACTATGTCTGTGGTTGAGGTTTATGCATGGCCTGTGCACATATGGCAGGCGCATTGGCTTTAACTTTCCTATGCGTTGTTTTGGTATGGTACTTATTTGAGAGATTGTTCAGATCCACTTAAATAGTTGTGGAACTCAGGGTTCTCCCCAGGATTTTTTTAACAAGGTGCTGCTGCTGAGTACGGCCGGGGGGAGGCCTGGAGTGGGGTAGTGCCCCCCTTTTGGACTCAGATTTGTGCTTTTTTAACACCTGTAACTGCCACTTCCTGCAATCTAGAGCAAAAAATGGCCTTATATGATAAAGTGGCGCGGCGCCTCTTACATTCTTTGGGGAGAACCCTGGAACTGGAGCAAAGCCCTTTTTGAACTTGTTTTCCCTAATGTGGGATTTGTTTTGTAATATCCTTCATTTTCTAAGTTAAGATCAAGAAGGTTGTTGTATGTGTTTAAATGTTACTTAAAACCAAAGGGTTTCAGAGTTAAAAGCAGAAGTACATTTACATTTAAGTCATTTAGCAGACACTCTTATCCAGAGCAACTTACAAATTGGTGCATTCAACTTAGGATAGCCAGTGGGACAACCACCACTGGGGAGGGGGGGTGTAGAAGGATTACTGTTACATGTATGAGTAAGTACTATATGACAGGACTAGGAGGCCACAGTAACGCAAGTTTGAATGGTATTTTGAAGTTATATTCTTACCTGAAAATCATTGACATTTCAAAGTGTAAGTCAAAGACAATCATGTTGTGTGCATATTAACCGTCCCCAATAGTATTGACTTATTTACCAGTGCAGGAGGTTGCGTGTGAAGTATTTATTTGAGACCAAGGAGTTAAAGGCCAGACTGGACTTATGATTTGGCTTTCTAATTCCCTGCTTAAGAGTGATGTCTGTGTTTGTGTGCAATTACAGGTTGTGTTCATTATAGGTGCACTATCAAAAGCTAGGGTGTATTCATTATTTGGATTCCGTTGTAAACGTTTAATCTGTTGCAAAACAGTGCAATGGAAGCTGTTTACTCCACAGAAAATGTTTTGCAATGAAAACAAGAGTTTCCATTGGACACATTCAGTTAGGTTCTGTTTGCTTCCTCGTGTAAACAGTTTTTGTTGTAAAATGTTTTGCAACAGACTAAACATTTTACAACTGAATCAGACTAACGAATACACCCTTGCCTAACAGCATACAAGAATCCTGTGTTTTACAAATGACTATGGACAATTATGGAATGTAATACATGGAAGATATCAATAGCCCTTTGTATGGAACATATGGGATGACAAATACACTGATAGAAATTAAAGTTTGCTCTAATTATTTCTCCAATGTTTGTTATTCTCCTCAATGCAACCATTACCCAAGTACTTAGCTTTAGGAAAGTGTAAAATGTGCTGTCAAAAGCTTTAATTGTATTTTTTTCACTGTTAAAATGCAATATTTTGTTACAAGCAAAATGTAACATTCTGGGAGAAGTAATAAAGTGAATTGTATTTTAGAATGATTTTGTTTGCGGGAGTTTCACTGACTGCATCCTCCTAGGATAATTTACTGTCAATATAAACAACTCTATAACATTAGAACACAGATGGGCAACTCCAGTCCTCAGGGGCCTGATTGGTGTCACACTTTTGCTCCAGCTAACACAACTGACGCCAATAATCAACTAATCATCTTCAGTTTAGAATGCAATTAGTTTAATCAGCTGTGTTTGCTAGGGATGGGTAAAAAGTGACACCACTCCGGCCCCCAAGGACTGGCGTTGCCCATCCCTGCATTCGAAGCATTGTCATTATATACTACAGTTTAAGTGTCCACAATCATGTCAGGATGCAGCAATGCATTTAGGCTCTGTAGACTTCTGTTCCCTCGCAAACCCTGAGCAGCAGACTGACAAGGATCTTTCTGTGGCATTTTACGAATATAGAGAAAAGGGGCATAGACATTATTAATTAATTACTTGGACAAACATCACGAACTATTAACCACCAGTAGATATTACAATTATAGATATTAAACTCATGATTCTATACCTGTTCTTCAAGACATATACAAAATATTTGCTGCAAACGTCCCCGGAATCCCGGGTGCTTACTCAAATGTCGTCCGACTGGATTGGTTACCACATGTACTTTGCTGATTAAACTGCAGATAATAATCATTACATTATTTTGTTTGTGTATAAATGTATTTTTTGTTTGTGGACAACGCACGACTATAAAAAAGTGTACGATTTTGAGCGCTAAGTGGTAAAATAGTTCGTCATACTTACATAGGTAGGACCACATGGACTTATCCGCCTCCTTGCAACAACGGAATATTATTGATGTAACAAGTTTTGATAGAGAAGTCGCTAACAAGCTAGCTTTAGCTTGTGAAGTTTGAGAGATAGCTTGTAGTAATTTATCATATTTGTTTTTAGAGAACAAGACAATTATAGTACTATAACATGGCAGTGAGCGCAGTTCACCTTGAATCTGATGCCTTTTTGGTTTGCATGAATCATGCATTAAGTACCGAGAAGGAGGAAGTAATGGGACTCTGCATCGGGGAGGTAACGTTTGCAAGCTAGCTAAATAACAAAGCAATAACTAGCTAGCTACCAGTTGCGTGTCCAGAACATGTTGAATGGGGTGGCCAAGGTGGGGCATAGAACCAGTTTAGGGGGGGCATAACATTTTGATGCAAGGTGGATTTTTTTCAATATAATTATGATGGTTCGACAATGCATTAAAGGTATACTTAAGATACCCATAGATTCCGAGGCATTCAGTTACTGTTCGATTGAATGTTAAGAATAGGCAAAGCGAGTGACCTAAGCGACTTTGAGCGTGGTATGGTCATCGGTGCCAGGCCCGCCGGTTACAGTATCTCAGAAACGGCCGACCTCCTGGGCTTTTCACGCACGACATTGTCTAGGGTTTACTGAGAATGGTGCGACAAACAAAAACATCCAGTCAGCAGAGGCAGTAATGTGAATAACAGTTAGTTGATATGAAGTCGAAGAAGAATGGCAAGAATCGTGGAAATGATGGAAGTTACAATCTATCTGCAATATTAAAGCTGATCTACCCCCTAAAAAAGAAAGAAAAGTATCGTGCAAATAATAGCGCAGAATGGCATCTCGGAACGCACAACTTCTCGGTCCTTGTCACGGATGGGCTATTCTAGCACAACTCTTATCAGCTAAAAACAAGAAGAAGCGGCTCCAGTGGGCACGTGATCACCAACACTGGTCCCGACGAATCCCGGTTCCTGTTGCGTCATGCTGATGGCAGAGTCAGGATTTGGCATGAGTCCATGGCCCCATCCTGCCTGGTGTCAACGGTACAGGCTGGTGGCGGTGGTGAATGTTTTCCTGGCACACGTTAGGTCCCTTGATACCAAGTGAGTAACGTTTCCATGTCCCGAAGAATTCAGGCTGTTCTGGAGGCAAAGGGGGGTCGGACCTCGTACTAGATGGGTGTACCTAATAAACTGGCCACTGAGTGTACATTGCCAATATGATCACCTTACCTTAAATGAACATGCTGTATAAAATAAAATCCGTACATAGTAATTAGCATATTCAGTATCAATTTGCATAACATTTTATAGAAAGTTGTATTCTAATTTCATACATTAATTTTTTTTACTACAAACTCTGTTTTGCATGAAGTTGTGTTAATAATATTATCCCTACCTTAAATTATTGGTCATAAATACTGAAATTATGTATTCAGTACTGCCTCATTTGCATAATATATTTTACTGTGTTACATACACCGTAAGTGTAATAACGTTAAGCCTACAAAGTGGCATGTATTTATGGATGCCAAGGGAAGCCAGGCTTTCCCATTTTTTTTAACAATAAAGAAACAAACTTAATTACTCGTTCGTGTCTATCCGTGTTTCATAATTTTCTGAGGGGCCACTGGGGTGGCCAATCAGATTTCAGGGGGGGGGGGCATGGCCACCCCCTGGACACGCCTCTGCTATCTACATGCATGCATATTATCTACCTTTAGTGTACCCTTTGTTGTTACATTCATATTCTCAATTGGCATATACCCCCAACTTGGTATTAGGGGCACCTGATATTGATTCGAGCTAGCTACCCTGTTAATTATTCTGCTTTCTAAAGTCACCTGGTTTGTTTACATAGGTGGACACCAACCGCATCGTCCACATTCATTCTGTTATTATTCTCCGACGCTCAGACAAGAGGAAGGATCGCGTGGAAATTTCGCCCGAGCAGCTATCTTCAGCGGCTACCGAAGCTGAGATATCCTTTATGCAATGTCTCATTCAATAACTTTAATCTCAATCTTCTGGTGGTGCCTTGCAGGAGGTCAGAGTGACATAGTCCGTGACATAGATACCATAAATGTCAGTGTGACAGGTAGCGGTATCATAGAATTCCTGAGGACACTGCCATTGTCTCATTTTGATAATCAATTTCCTTAGTAAGAGCTACAGGTTGGCTGAAATGACTGGACGGCCGATGCGTGTAGTTGGTTGGTACCACTCTCACCCCCACATCACTGTGTGGCCATCACATGTGGGTAAGAACCAGAGCACCCCTCTACCACATCAATGCCACAACGTTAGTTCTCACTGTCATGGCAAACTGTTTCAGTCGGTGTGTCTGAAAGTCATTCATTTTCTACAACAGATGTGAGGACACAGGCCATGTACCAAATGATGGACCAGGGCTTTGTTGGGCTGATATTCTCCTGCTTCATTGAGGATAAGAACACAAAAGTAAGGGTTAAATGACAGCTATTTAAAATATATAACGTCATTTTGATTTACAAAGGGGCTTCGAACAAATTCTATTATTATTTTCTCTTAGACCGGTCGAGTTCTCTACACCTGCTTCCAGTCTGTCCAAGCCCAGAAAGGCTCAGAGTAAGTGTACCCCTGTTTGGTGTTATTAGATGATTTTGTTATCTTTTCTCCCTCATAACTATTACTCAGAGAAATATTTAATTGATTCAGTCTTTCACAGAGCAGTTGTCTCAAAAAGAAGCCATTTGACAATATCAACACAAATACTGAATTGCATCCCTGATCTGTGTTGATAAAGGTACGAGAGAATCGAGATCCCAATTCATGTGGTTCCACACGAGGCCATTGGGAAAGTGTGCCTTGAATCAGCAGTGGAGCTCCCCAAAATCCTCTGCCAGGAAGAGCAGGACACCTACAGAAAGATTCACAGGTAGGTCGCCTCAGAAGCCCAGGGGAGCATTCAGTTTGGTTCAACGTTTGCTACGTTGCGTGACTGTTGAACGACATGTTTCCCCAAAACATTGTGCACTGTTCTTCATCAGCCTTTGAAGTATGTTTGTTCCCATTTGGTGGGTGTGGCCTGATCAATATGGGTGTGACCATTTGAAATCGCAAAACTTGTGCAGCACACCATACACAATCGCCCTCTGGGCCACCATAATCACACCGTTCTTCATCTGGTCGTTCAGTACAGTACTGTTTCCATTTAATTAAATGTTCAATACCATTCTGTCGTACTAAATGCACCCCAGGGTTCTGACATTTTGTTCGAAAGCCTGGGGAAGTTTTCCTCAGGAAGAAGATAAAAAGAGGTGGAGTCTAGATGGAAACTAGTGATGCATTGCCACTTATCAAACCAGTATAATATTTTGCAGGGTGGAGCTCTGAACAAAGGTTGTATTTCTGAACATTTGTCTGACTAGCAACAAGCTAGCTAGCATTAGATGCAATACTGTCGCATAGGCTACTAAAACTTTGTCCGACACGGTAGTAAAAGAGACAGACAAAACAAGGAAAAGCCTCTTCTGGGGGGGTAACAGTCAGTATCTGGTGTGGCCACCAGCTGCATTAAGTACTGCAGTGCAGCTCCTCCTCATGGACTGCACCTGATTTGCCAGTTCTTGCTGTGAGATGTTACCCCACTCTTCCACCAAGGCACCTGCAAGTTCCCGGACATTTCTGGGGGGAATGGCCCTAGCCCTCACCCTCCGATCCAACAGGTCCCAGACGTGCTCAATGGTATTGAGATCCGGGCTCTACGCTGGCCATGGCAGAACACTGACATTCCTGTCTTGCAGGAAATCACGCACAGAACGAGCAGTATGGCTGGTGGCATTGTCATGCTGGAGGGTGATGTCAGGATGAGCCTGCAGGAAGGGTACCACATGAAGGAGGAGGATGTCTTCCGTTGAGATTGCCTGCAATGACAACAAGCTCAGTCAGATGATGCTGTGACACACCGCCCCAGACCATGACAGACCCTCCACCTCCAAATCAATCCCGCTCCAGAGTACAGGCCTCGGTGTAACGCTCGTTCCTTTGACGATAAACACGAATCCGACCATCACCCCCGGTGAGACAAAACCGCGACTCGTCAGTGAAGAGCACTTTTTGCCAGTCCTGTCTGGTCCAGCAACAGTGAGTTCGTGCCCATAGGCGACATTGTTGCCGGTGATGTCTGGTGAGGACCTGCCTTACAACAGGCCTACAAGCCCTCAGTCCAGCCTCTCTCAGCCTATTGCGGACAGTCTGAGCACTGATGGAGGGATTGTGCGTTCCTGGTGTAACTCGGGCAGTTGTTGTTGCCATCCTGTACCTGTCCCGCAGGTGTGATGTTCGGATGTACCGATCCTGTGCATCTGTGAAGTTATTTGGATTTTTACGAATTATATCTTTGAAAGACAGGGTCCTGAAAAAGGGACGGTTCTTTTTTTGCTGAGTTTATGAATTCAGGGCAGCTCATTGTGTATTGCTCATTGTAAATGAAATAATTTCAGGATTTCATTCCTTTGCAGCTTAACTCACCTGGATCTGATCACGAAGATACACAATGGCTCAGGTTGGTCTTTGTAGTTGTTGATAACTGATATTTAATTGTCACTATGCATATTAATATCATAGACAGCGCATCTATGTCTTGACTGTGCTTTCTTTCTCCACTTGACGTGTGTGTGCACATTTCAGTGTTCACTAAGAACCTGTGCAGCCAGATGTCTGCTGTGAGTGGTCCCCTGCTGCAGTGGCTGGAGGACCGTTTGGAGCAGAACAAACAGAACATCATTGAGCTGCAGCTGGAGAAAGAGAGACTAACTCAGGAGCTGGCAACCATGTGAGCGGGAGAGAGTTAAGAAATAGACATGTGGGCCTCCTGAGTGGCGCAGTGGTCTAAGGCACTGCATCGCAGTGCTTGAGGCGTCACTAGAGACTCAGGTTTGATCCCAGTCTGTGTTGCAGCCGGCCGCGACTGGGAGACCCATGAGGCGGCGCACAATTGGCCCAGCGTCGTCCGGGTTAGGGGAGGGTTTTGCCGGCTGGGATGTCCTTGTCCCATCGCGCTCTAGTGACTCCTTGTGGCGGGCCGGGCGCATGCACGCTGACTTCGGTCGCCAGTTGTACAGTGTTTCCTCCAACACATTGGTGCGGCTGGCTTCCGTGGTTAAGTGAGCAGTGTGTCAAGAAGCAGTGCGGCTTGGCAGGGTGGTGTTTCGGGGGACGCATGGCTCGACCTTCACCTCTCCCGTGTCCGTATGGGAGTTGCAGCGATGGGACAAGACTGTAACTACCAATTGGATATCACGAAAAAGGGGTAAAAATTACTTTTTAAATGTTATATTGACATGTTCCTAGACCTTTTCACACGAGGACAAGTGACTAAAGGAATCTCCTCATGGCTAACTGAATGCAACCACACACACACCTTAGGGTGTGTTTTCCTGTAAGGTCATGCTCTGTGTACTCCTTAACACTGTACTGTATTTACTACAACATGTCACTCCCAGACTAAAATGTTTGTCTTTTCTTTATTTTAGTTCCTTGGCACCGAGTATTGGATGCGTTTTTAAATTTTGTCGATTTATTTATATTTTGAATGGATGGTACAATGTACTGTGAGCATGAAAGGATGTCCCATGTGAATTGCCAATTCAAAATGTGACAACATAGTATATCCAGGTATTTGCTTATTATGAAGTATTTAAAAAAAAGTTGTTTCAATTTCTATGTTGCAATATGTCATGCTTTATATGTGCTCTCCAAGTTAATCAAAGCCATCTCCTTTGACACATATTGGATTTCTTGTACTTAAGAATGTTTCATAAGGTAGTTCATGGAAATGTTCCAAACCATTAAACTTACTAAAACTCCTGCAGAGTTTGAGTTCTGTATGAGGCATTTGGTCTGAAAACCTCAGGAAATGTTGTTTCTCATTCTCATAGCAGGGCAGAGGGATGATTTGTAATTAACTGTCATATGAGGTGGGGGAGATGGGATATTGCTTTATATCCGTTTGGAAAATACAGCATTGTTAGCTGAATGATGTCTACATGTGAATTTATGGTGTAATCATCGTAGCTTATTTAGCAGCCATTGCTTAGTCATCATGTGCCTTGTCGTGCTTGTATGGGTTCTGTTGTTTGAGGGATTAAACAGATTTTTCTCTTGATGACTCACCATCTTAAATATTTGTGTCAGTTGACTGAAGCTATACCAGTTCCAAATCTAGGCTATGCTCAAATTGGGTGAGCAGTTTAAATAATGACTGGCTTCATCTATCATTACACCAAACACAATCTTAAGTAAATGTTGTTTTTAGTATAGGGATAGGTCAGCAATGTACCAACAGCACATTTTTATGTTGATTGGTTAAAATAATCCAACATTTTCAGATGGCCTGGTTTTGTGTGTACTATAGAAATTATGGAAACAAATAAATTAGACAAGCTTTGAAAAGATGATCTTCTGACCATCTCTGTGTGTCTGAGAGTTGCTATAGGAACAGCTTTACCCATCTGCTGGAGTGGTTCAGTATTCTGGCTGAGTCATGCCGCAGCACTCATGTCAGGGAGATGGAACGAGCAATTTCCTGAGCGATCTTCATTATGGTCTTATTGAGTGATACCTCACAATGCTGAAATAGCCTTTCGTGAAAGTTGGTATGTGAGAGGAACTATAAAAGGCCATGTTAGCAGTAATGCCAACCAGAAATCAGTGGCAAGTACGTGTATGTCAGATGGTGTAGACACTTAAGGCCTTTACAATATTTTGTTAAAATTAGATTTCATGGCTCTAGAGCTCACTTGAAATCTGGCAATCTGAATGCTTTGGCTGCCATTCTAATCACTTTCACAATAATAATTACCCTCATTACATCTTCAATCATCCTCAAACATTATTTGGTATTCCACTAGGTAGAGGCATTGTTCTCCAGAGATACAAGGCTTTTTGCATCTCAAAAATAAAAGACAACAGATGCATGATAAAAAAAGATACAGATGCTGAAATGGCCAGATTACCGAAGTAAATATGATGTGCTGTATTCTTACTTGGTTTTCTATAATTACGTTTTCATCAACAACCCAACACAGATGCTCTCATCAGTGATTCTCTTTGGATGGTGTTTGTCTACGCTGCATAGCATTGCTAATGTGGGATGGCATTGCTTGCATCATTCACTGTGGATCCGAGACTCTCCTGTATAGGAAGGGAGGGAAGGGAACCCATGATTCTCGGGAAACGGAGGTTAGGTGACAGGTTGATTACGATAAACTGCTGACCGGGAACTGCGTCTGCACAAATGCTGCCTGCTGTAATTCATGGTGACTTCTGCCTCAGCCCGACCTAGGTTCTATAACTGTAATATATTGCTTCAGAATATATAAATGGCTAAAGTCATCCTCTCTTAAACCTTTCAGATAACTTTTTAACATGCCACATTATAAGGGAATTATGTTTCAGGTGTCATACGTTACCATTGCCACAAATGAAGCATTTACAACAAAAAGTGCATCAGACTAATTTGTTGTAGATTTATTCAAGTACTGTCATTGCAATGTAATCCAGAGGGGAAAATCTATTAGCATTTTTTTCAGTGGACCTATTCCAAGCAATAATTACAATTATATAGACCCAAGATAAGATATTTAAGCAATTCTACACCATCTTCCTTCACTATTCTGCAATAGAGGACTCACGGTGAGGACCGAATGCTTTTCAGATTGGATATTTTGACTGATGACTCTCCAGTTTTAAAAGTCTTGTTTAGCGTTCCTTTTTTCTCTCCCACTCTGCTGTTGCTATGGAATCCTTGTGCGAGACAGTGGCCATGACATCATCCCATTTACAGTAGACAGGCTCTTTCCATCCACCAAGGACTCGAGTATGGGACAGTGGTTTGATGGACACGCATCAGCTGTAATTCACTCTATGGATGGAAATAGCCACATTGTCAAAACCTCTGCTGGCCTTTCTCCGTAAGCACTCCAAAAAAACAAAAACGAATGAATCTACAAACTAAGACTATAAATCTGTAAATATGCTGCAATACAAGCAAATACAAATGTCTATATGAAATAGAGGCATTCAAAACGAAACATACACCACTATTACTGGAGTTGGAACACTCACATGCTGGTAAAGTAGATTCCTCATCAAGTCTTAGACAGTTTTGAAGGTGACACTGGTCAGCAGGGAGAAGTGGGGGAGCGCATTATCGCGTAATTTAAAAAAGAGCCCCTGTTCACAAACTTAGTAATTTGCATAAATGTATCTTGTTTTTAGACAACTATTATGGTCCCTGCTATGGAATCGATGTTGATGGATTTGACCATCGTCATCATAATTATCAATCATCATCAGAGTACAGTAGTGTATGGTATGAAAAACATATATTTCCACAAGGGGGCAGTGCAAGCCTACCTTTACACATCAAGGGGCTGCTTCTGCTGCTTGCACGACATGTAGGGATACTTTCAAGTACTACTTAAGTCGTTTTTTGGGTTATCTGTACTTTACTATTTATGTTTTTGCCAACTTTTACTTTTACTTCACTGCATTTCTAAAGAAAAATAATGTACTTTTTACTCCATACATTTTCCCTGACACCCAAAAAGTACTCCTTACATTTTGACAGGAAAATGGTCCAATTCACGCACTTATCAAGAGAACATCCCTGGTCAACCCTACTGCCTCTGATCTGGCGGATTCACTAAACATAAATGCTTTGTTTGTAAATTATGTCTTGAGTGTTGGAGTGTGCCCCTGGCTAACCGTCAAACAATAAATAAATACAATTGTGCCATCTGGTTTTCTTAATATAAGGAATTTGAAATTATTTTACTTTTACTTTTGATACGTAAGTATATTTTAACAATTCCATTTACTTTTGATACTTAATTATATTTAAAACGAAATACTTTTAGACTTTTACTCAAGTGGTATTTTACTGTGTGACTTTTTACTTGAGTCATTTTCTATTAAGGTATCTTTACTTTTACTAAAGTATGACAGTTTAGTACTTTTCCAGTTTAGACAGTTTAGTACTTTTTTTTAGGCCACTCCAGGACCTTGAGATGCTTCTTACGGAGCCACTCCTTAGTTGCCCTGGCTGTGTGTTTCGGGTCATTGTCATGCTGGAAGACCCAGCCACGACCCATCTTCAATGCTCCTACTGAGGGAAGGAGGTTGTTGGCTAAGTTCTCGCGATACATGGCCCCATCCATCCTCCCCTCAATACGGTGCAGTCGTCCTGTCTCCTTTGCAGAAAAGCATCCCCAACGAATGATGTTTCCACCTCCATGCTTCACGGTTGGGATGGTGTTCTTGGGGTTGTACTCATCCTTCTTCTTCCTCCAAACACGGCGAGTGGAGTTTAGACCAAAAAGCTCTATTTTTGTCTCATCAGACCACATGACCTTCTCCCATTCCTCCTCTGGATCATCCAGATGGTCATTGGCAAACTTCAGACGGGCCTGGACATGTGCTGGCTTGAGCAGGGGGACCTTGCGTGCGCTGCAGGATTTTAATCCATGACGGCGTAGTGTGTTACTAATGGTTTTCTTTGAGACTGTGGTCCCAGCTCTCTTCAGGTCATTGACCAGGTCCTGCCATGTAGTTCTGGGCTGATCCCTCACCTTCCTCATGATCATTGATGCCCCACGAGGTGAGATCTTGCATGGAGCCCCAGACCGAGGGTGATTGACCGTCATCTTGAACTTCTTCCATTTTCTAATAATTGCGCCAACAGTTGTTGCCTTCTCACCAAGCTGCTTGCCTATTGTCCTGTAGCCC